AGCGGCCGGAAGGAGCAGGAATACCTGACAGAAGATTGACTGTGACCGGAGCTGTGCAAAGGAGACGTCGGCCATGGAGCTGGGGGAGCTGCTCTACAACAAGTCCGAGTACATCGAGACGGTGCGCGTGCCCGCGTGTCCAGACAGCTGCGCTGCCCTGCCCTCAGAGCCTGTGTTCTCAAAGAGAGGCCCGGCCAGCGGCACCATCGCGGCCCGGCCCGGCCCCACCCGCCCCGGGTCCCTTTGACAGTCCGGATTACCTAGTGACCATTCATGAGTGGTCTTTGTTACTTAGTCCTTGCATGGCCGTTTAGACTTTTTGTATTTACTTCTGATTTTCTTGTAGTGAGAAAGTGCCTTCCAGAGGACGGGGCAAGTCCTATCCTGATATATTTTTAAAATGATTTTTATGTTATTTATTTATTTATGCAAGCCCTATCCTAATATATTTTTTAATGATTTTTATGTTATTTATTTATTTATTTTGTTGTAGGGCACATGCAGTCGCCAGAGAGACAGAGAGACAGAAAGTGAGAAATCATCCCCCAGCGGGGATGGCCGCGCCGCAATCCCTTCTCCATTCTCCTCTCGGGACCCTGGGCACGCATGTACGCGCGCCTGGCGTGAGTTTAAGCCACCGCTTCTGAGACCACAGTCGACTACATGGGAGTTCAATGACATAGCATTATGCTAAGTGCTGGTTCCCCTATCCTAATATTTTATTACAGCTCCAGGTTTCAGATCCTCTTAAACTGTTTTTTAAAACTAACGTTTTGTAATGTGTTAGCATGTTAACTCTTGGTTCCTTTATAGTCAGTGCATAATATGAGCATCAAATGCTGGAAACAGGGCAAATTACTATTATTTATTTTTGCATTCTTAAAGCTCTGTGATATCCTCATTAAATGTGGTATTGGGACTTGAATCTACGTCACTGATTCTACATCACTGTCTGATTTCGCACTAGAGACCTGTTATATCTGAATTCTGGATTGATTCCTTATATACCTACTTTCCTAATCCATCCTTATATCTATATCTATATGTATAGATAGATAGGTATGTTGTAGACAGCATCCGATTTCAAGTTCCTTTCTCTCTAGTATGAGCTTTTGTGATGGAAACATGTAGCCCCAAAACCCACTCAATCTGCTCACCCCAGTTTTCTGTTGTATTCTTTCAGGCATCTGGGAACAAAGTTAGTCGCCAGTCAGTGTTGTGTGGAAGTCAGAACATCGTTCTTAATGGCAAGGTAAGGGACAGAGCCAGCTCCAGCATCTTTTGCGTACTTTCCACTAATTATTACATTAGCTGGGTAGATAAAAATGTTACCATGGCGCTCATTTATTGTTGTTGGTGTTTTATTTTGTTTTGAAATTTTTCCATAAGATGTGTGTCACTGCCAGAGAGAGAGAGAGAAAGTGAGAAATCACCTCTCAGGGGGTTGGCCATCCTGTAGTCCTTTCTATTTTACTCTCCACTTAGGATGTGAGGGATGCTTGCACATGTGCCTGGTGTGCTTTTCAAGCCTCCTGGTCTGGGACTCAGACTGTGCAATCGCCCTTATGGGATGCAGCCACCTTAGATTCCATACCACCTGCCATACCTATTGTACATTTTTCAGTCTTCATCTTTTTTCTTTTTTAGTCTATAAATTATATTTATTGAATGTCTCCGTTTAAGAGACAACAGAAAGCCTTTTTCATTTTATACCGGAAATGAAATACAATGGTACCCAGAACAAAAATTACTGTATAATGTTGTCATGTGACCTAAACTATTAGACATGAAGCATATATGAAAAACAAAATATTCTAATTTAGAGACTGAAGTGATACTAGTAACATTATCTATTAAATAATAAGAAACATTTGAGTATTAATTGAACCTCTTAAAAATCAATATGAGAATTGAGAAAGATATTAAAATATGCAACAAGTAACCAAAATAGAATCTGAAAGCCTCTAAATCATGTAGACTGATTGAAATAGCACAGATAACTATTAACCTGGGAACAATATAGAACATTTCAAAACCAGAGAAAATCATAAAACATATTTGAGCCTATATTTTTTAAATATTTATTTATTTAATTCCATTTGTTATTATTATTTTTTAATTTGACAAGACAGAGACAGAGAGTAAGAAAAAAGGAAAGTGAGAAAGCAAGCCTCCAAGTCTGGAACTTGAAACCATGGTCAGCTATGTGGAAATCCAGCACCTTTAGCCACCATACCACCTCCTGACCCCTTGAGCTTATATTTTTAAAGTTTTTTTGTTTATTTTCTCCCTATGAGACAGAGACAGACAGACAGGCAGGCACCATCAACAAGGTCTACCCCCAGTCCCAGAAAGCCTAGATCACAGGCTTCATGTGCTCAGGGAGATCCTGTGACATGAACTAAGGACCTTTCCCATGTGAGTCCAGTGGCATTACTACTGTACCACCACTGCCACCTTGACCCCCTGATAATGCCCTTTGATGCATAAAAGTTTTAAATTTTGATTATGTCTAGTTTATTATTTTTTCTTTTATTGATTATGTTTTTGGTGTCATGTAAAAGTCATTGCCAAACCTAAAGTCACTAAAATTCTCTGCTATGTTTTCTTCTAAGAATGTTATGATTTTAGCAGTTAGATTTAGGTCATTGATCCATTTTGAGTTAATTTTTGTACATGGTGTGAGGTGGAGGTTCAGTTTACGACTTTTAGATGTGCGAGTACATCATTTGTTGAAGAGACTATTCTACACTTATTGAATGGTTTTAACACTCTTGTAGAAAATCATTTGGTCATCAATGAATGGGTTTATTCTTGAATTTGGTTGGTCTATGTAGCTATTCTTATATAGCATTATATAATTTTGATTACTGTAGCTTTGTAGTAAGTTTTTAATCAGGAAGTGTAGTCTACCAATTTTGCTCTTTTTAAAGATTATTTTGGCTATACAAGGGCCCCTCTTTCTTTTTAAAAAGATGTTTTAAGTGGCCTAGCCCTGTTGGCAAAGGCAATAGGGCACCATACAGTATAGAGCCTAATGGGAGGTCTGGGTTCAGAAGCTGAGTCAACTAGAACATGCCAGTTATGCCTACATACCTATAATCCTGGCTGGCTGGAGATTGAGAGGAGGATCATTGCCCGGCAAGAACCTGTTGAGGATACCAGTGTGTGTGTCTTTCAAGAAAGAAATACATAAAATAAACATTTTTTTAAAAAGATGTTTTATTTGGCATAGTTGGTATACACAAAAGAATATATGTGACATATATTCTGGGAAGCATAAAAATTAAATCAAGGCCCAGCTGTGGTTGCACATGCTGCTAAGTGCTAAGACATGTACTCTGTAGGGATACCCAGGTTTGATTCTCAATCCAACCTGAAGTCCAGGTGCAGTGTCATGTACCTATAATCCCAGGTACTCAAGAAACTGAAGCAGGAAGATCATGATCTAAAGGAGGCTGATGCAGGAGAATAGCCAGCATGAGCTTATGGCTAGTCTGAGCAACATAATAGACCCTGTCTTTTTTTAAAAAAAAGAAAAACAAAACTGGATTCAGTGATGTGTGCCTGTAGTCACATCTGGGAGGCCAGGGCAAGAAGATCATAACAAAGCAAGACCTTGTCTTCTTTTTTGTTGTTTTGTTTTTGTTTTTAATTTGCCAGAGGGCACATGCACGGGCAAGAGGTTGGGGAAAGCACCCTGCATGGGGCATGATCACACAGCAGTCCCTTCTCCATTTCTCCCTCTTTTCTGGACTGTGGACACACATGTATAAGTGCCAGTGTATTTCTTTTCTTTTTTTTAATAATTATTTATTTTATTTTATTTATTCATTCATTGATTTTTTTTTTTTAATTTGAGCAGAGACAGAGGGTGAGAGTGAGAGAGAGGAAGTGAGAAGGCAAGCCACCAGATTCAGGACTCGAACTCTGGTCGGCCATGTGGGAGTGTCCAGTGCCTTAACCACCATGCTACCTGCTGGTCCCTGTGCCAGTGTATTTCTAAAGCCACTGGTCTAGAACTCAGACCACACAGTTGGCCATCTGAGATCCAGCTCCCTTAACTGACTGGCTTTGTGTGTTTATGTGTACACATGTGTGTGCTAGAGGGTGTTCATACTTATCAGAGGGATGAGGAAAAGGAGAAGGTACCTCCTATAGGGAATTGTCATGAACAATCCCTTCTCATTATCCCTCCTTTTTCAGGACTTTTTGGACACATTTACATATGTGCCCTCACATGTTTCTCAAGCTATCAGGTCCAGTACCATTAACTGCACAGTAGGCCATGTGCGATCTGTTTGCCTTATGCATCAAGCCATGGAGCTAGCCCAATACCCAGTCTTCTAAAAAAGATTAAATTAATACCTAGCAGCCCACCACCTAACTGAAGAACTGGAACATAATCAATGTATAATAAGTTCTATCTTTTTTGTTTTTTAAGTTTGTTATAGGGCACCAGAGGGAGAAGGAGAGAGAGGGGGAAAGATGAGAAATCATCCCCCAGGGAGGGGATGGCCACACCACAATCCCTTTTCCATTTTCCTCTAGGGATTTTGAGCACACACACACACACACACACACACACACACTCACCCACCATATTTTTTCAAGCTGCCATATCTATGACTTGAACTGCACAGTTGACCATGAGGGATCCAGCAGCCTTAACCACCATGGTATAGCTGGCTCGTAATAAGTCCTATCTTTATGTTTGTCTGCTTTCCCTTTTTTCTGTCTTCTTCCAAAAAAAAACCTCTTTCCTGAATTTTATATATATATATATATTTATATATATACACACACACACACACATACATATATATTTTTTATTATTTATTTAATTTTTGTTTGTGTTTGTTTAAGTTAGCTACAGTGCACTTACCTGAAACAGAAAGGGTGAGAGGAGAGTGAGAAACCACCCTCTCAGGGGAGACAGCCACAATGTAGTCCCTTCTTCTTCATTCTCCTCTTGGGATTTTGGGCACACATGTACACATACCCAGCAAATTTTTCAATCTACCAGGTCCAGGACTCAAACCATGCAGCTGGCTATGTCAGACCCAATTGCATTAACCACCATGCCACTGGCTGGCCCCCATTGTGGTCTTTCATCGAAAATCATTGTGTACAGTTCTACTTACCACTCTTCTATTGGTGTATAGTTATTTTTGTTTCTAGTTTTATTTTTACTACCATGAACCATCTATATTTCCAGCCCCTCTCTCTCATTTCTATTGTCTTTCTTTCTTTTAATTAATAGCACCTGTGCATGCATGAGAGTGAGAACAAGTAAAGCGCTGTTGACAGGGTCTTATAATGTTGTGATCCCTTTGTTAGCCTTCCAGGTCCTCAGAGTACTGGGAGCCTGCATACAAGGCATGTGTGTTCTCAGGCTGACACGAGGATCCAGGGCTGTGGAAGCTACAGCTTCCAACTTAACGTTACTGCTGTGCTACAGTGGCTGGGCTAATTTTCTGTTTTCTTTATATCCAATGTGATGGAGCCTGTAATAATAGAGGGGGATCAAATGAGTAGAGAATGGTAGAGACTAGTGAATTGGAGAATTCATGACCAGTCTAAGTCCAGACTGTTGCTCTGTGGAAATACTGGCCTATATTTTTAGAACTTCTTATATTTTTTCAAAAGAATCTAGAAAGCTATATCTTTTAAGTGCATAATGTCCCACTATTTGAGTAATAATACTTAACAGTTAAAAAAAAAATGGTATGTGGACCAAATAAGACAGGTTTGCAAGTACAGTCCTTAGACCTCCAATTTACCAACTCTGCCTTGTATTTAAAGAGTTAAAAAAAGAGTAGTGTACCATTATTGTGTGTATATATTTTTAAAATAATAATTATTTTTTAAACTTTACTTATCCATTATTTATTTATTTTAATTTGCCCAGAGAGAGATAGGAGAGAGAGAGAAAGTGAGAAAGCAAGTTGCCAGGTCCTGGACTCGAACCGTGGTCAGCCATGTGGGAGTCCAGCACCCTTAACCACCATGCCACCTGCTGGCCCCCATTATTGCCCCATTATTGTATATTTTTTAAAAGCACAGTACTTTCCTAATATCATCTAATCTTCAGTCCATGTTAAATATCTTCATTGTTTCATGATGTCTTTTTACAGTTGGTTTATTGAAATCAGAATCCAAAGTCATGCACACATTATATTTAGTTGATAGGTCTCCTAATTCTCTTTTAATCCATAATGGCTTCTTTTGCCCACTCTCTTTTTCGCCCCATGCCATTTTTAGGTTGTAGAAACTGGGTGACTACCCTCTAGAGTTTTCAAATACATGAATTTGGCTGATTATATCCACATGGAGGTGTTTAATGAGTGGCCTTTATTCCTCCCTCTAAATTTGTAGTTAGATAATCCAGCAGGTGGTTCAGGCTCTGGACTCCCACATGTTTGACCATGGTTCGAGTCCTGTACCTGGTGGCTTACTTTTTTTTTTCCCTCTGTCTTTCTCTGGTGAGCACACATGTCTATAGCAACCTTATAAAAGAAAATAATAATAAATAAAATTCAATTAAATAAATAATTAAAAAATAAATTGGTAGTTAGATCTAGAGGCTTGATCAGATTAATTTACTTCCTATTTTCCTCATGCATTGCTATTGCCTCAGATAAAACCATTTTCTATTTTTACTTTGATTCACTGTGGTTATCCAAAAGGTCACTTTCCCTCCAATCCCTCTTGTACCCTTCATTCAGACTCCAGACTGCTTCCAGAGTAATATTTATAAAGGAAAAATTCACTTGCACTAATCATCTATTTATTGGGTCATTGGAAAACTCATGACATATTTTTCTATGCAAAAATACGTCATGACTTTTACAATGACCCAATAAAATATTTCATTGATTCCTTGTATCTGCTAAGGAAAAAAAGTCTAAACTTCTATTCTTAGCATATACAATTCTACATGATTTAGTCTCTTGCTTGCTTTTTCAGTTGCACAATGGCCATGTGCACTTTTTTAAAATTATCTTTTCATTTTTTTTTAAGAGAGATTTTCGTTGTAGGATGCATGCATTCATCAGAGAGACAGAGACAGAGAGATAAGAAAGAAAGTCTTGGGAACCAGCAGTTAGCGTAATGGCTATGTCGCTGGACTCCCATGTAGTCGACCGCGGTTCACGTCCCGGACCTGGTGGCTTAAAACTCACCCCGTGTGCGTGTGTGCCCAAGATCCCGAGAGGAGAATGGAGGAGAAGGGATTGTGGCGTGACCATCCCCCCTGGGGGTTGATTTCTCGCTTTCTTTGTGTCTCTCTCTGTCTTGTCTGGTGAGTGCACACGCCCTATAGTGAAAAACCTCTCCAAAAAAAGAAAGTCTTGGGTGGGACCGGCAGTTAGCATAATGGTTATGTTGCTAGACTCCTGTGTAGTTGACCATAGTTCGAGTCTTGGACCCAGTGGCTTAAATTCAACGTCAGGCACATGTGCATGCGTGCCTAAGATCCTGAGAGGAGAGTGGAGAAGGGATTGTGGGGTGGCCATCCCCCATGGGGGGTGATTTATTACTTTCTGTCTCTCTGGTGAGTGCACACGCCCTATAGCAAAAACCTCTCCCCCCAAAAAAAAAAAAAGTCTTGGGGTTTGGAGTATGGATGGATACTCCCTTGTGTGAGTTTTAAGGCACCAGGTCCAGAACTCAAACTGCAGTCGACTATTTGACTACTTGGGAGTCCAGTGACATAACCATTACACCATCTGCTGGTCCCACCTTTTTTTTTCTTTTTTCTTTTTTCTTTTTTTTTTTTTTTTTTCTTCTTTTGGAGAGGTTTTTGCTATAGGGCGCATGTGCTCGCCAGAAAGACACAGAGAGAGATAGAGAGACAGAAAGCGAGAAATCACCCCCCAGGAGGGATGTCCACACCGCATTCCCTTCTCCTCCATTCTCCTCTCAGGATTTTGGGCACGCACACACACGTGCCTGGCGTGAGTTTAAGCCACTCGGTCCAGGACTTGAAATGCAGTCGACTACATGGGAGTCCAGTGACATAGCATTACACTAACTGCTGATCCCCCTCCTTTTTCATTTTACCAACAGACATGTTGAGAATGCCTGCTCTTTACCAAGTATGGGGCATTAATACCCTTATCCATCTGGATAGTCTCTCTGGGGAAGCCAGATCTTAACACCATGTAGTTTAGCCTTAATCTGAGTCCAGAATTTGGGAGATGAACCAGAGTTCCACTGAGTACATGAAGTTGAAAACAGTCAATAATATTAGGAGGTAAAACAAAGGTAGAAGCAGCCAAGATTCTCACTGTGCAAGTCGCCAAGGCTTGAGGGACAGGTGGACCTGAATGAATCTGAAGAGACATACAAAACTTGGTCTTCAGTAGGTATTCTCAGTATTAAAGTATTAAGGACAAAACTTCTGATATATTGGGAACTTCTTTAACTATAGCAATGTTTTTGTTGTTGTTGTTTTTGTTTCGTTTTTGTTTTTGGAGAGGTTTTTGCTATAAGGCATGTGTGCTTGCCAGAAAGACAGAGAGAGACAGAGAGATAGAAAGTGAGAAATCACCCCCTAGCGGGATCACACATGCGCCTGGCATGAGTTTAAGCCACTGGGTCTGAGACTTGAACCACGGTCTACTACATGGGAGTCCAATGATGTAGAAATTACACCATCTGCTGGTCCCTAACTATAGCAATGTTTTGAAGGCAATTATTTTTTTACTTTACATGTTAGTGCTTTTGACAGAACATTTGATTCGTTGGATTGTTACATAACCTTCAATTAGCATCTTATTTTCTGCTCTTTTTTGTTATGTTGTAGGCTATGTTGGTAAGTTTTTTAAATGTACTTTCTTTTTGTTTAAATAATTATTTTTATTTCATTTATTTTCATCATTATTATTTGTTTAATTTGACCAGAGAGAGAGAAAGGGAAAGTGGAAAAGCAAGCCTCCAGATCCAGGACTCAAACAGTGGTTGGCCACGTGGGAATCCAGTACTGTAACTACCTGCCACCTTCAGGCCCCAGTGCTTGCTTGCTTTCTTTCTTTCTTTCTTTTTTTTTTTTTAAGAATTACTTATTCTTTTCCATTTATA